TCACCTGAGATCAGGAGTTCGAGACCAGCCTGGGCAACATGGTGAAACCCCGTCTCTACTAAAAATACAAACATTAGCCAGGCGTGTGGTGGTGGGCGTCTGTAATCCCAGCTACTCGGGAGGCTGAGGCAGGAGAATCGATTGAACTCAGGAGGCGGAGGTTGCAGTGAGCTGAGATTGCACCACTGCACTCCAGCCTGGGCGACAGAGCAAGTCTCTGTCTCAAAAAAAAAAAATGGATTCTTCTTGTCATCTACTTCTAACCCTGCCTTCCATGGTGACCCCACAGCTCCATGAGGAGGACTCCTTCTCCAATGCCAGCATCAAGGTCAGCTACCAACTTGAGACCCCTGAGGGACAGAGGGACCGTCCCCAGCCCATCCTCGACCGCTACGCTGAAGCCTATGCCATCTTCCAGGTGACTCTACCCTCAGCCAGTACCAGCCCTCTTGAGAGCCGATCCCACAGAAAGCACCTGCTCCCCTGACTTCCGAGAACGTTAGAACTGGGAGGGAATGTCTTCAGACAGCATTTGGGCGCCTCACTGCACAAATGTGAAACTGAGCCCCTGCGGTGGTGTTAATGTGTGTGGGGCGTCACTCATGGGTAGCACAGGTCTCCGTCTGTCTCTGGGGCTGTGGCTTTAGGTTCACAAAAGCGCTTGCTGTGTATTTCATGACCCACAGGTATACATTACATCCTGGGACCTCACTTGGCAGGGAGCTCTGATGACGCGGTGGTGGGGGTCCCTTGTGAGCGCGAGACGGGAGCTATCCTGTCTCGTGCTGCAGAGAGGATGCCCTTTGGCGCCCTGCCTGTTCATGCCCTGCCAGGGCCTTCAGGCTGAATGGCCCCACCAAACCTGTGCCCCTGCCTCTCCTCCTGGTGCCTATCAGTGCAGCTCAGACAGGCGGGCAGTGTCATAAAAAACTTTTGTTGGCCTGGAGCCCTGGCTGATGCCTGTAATCCCAGCACTTTGGGAGGCTGAGGTGGGCGGATCACCTGAGGCCAGGAGTTCAAGACCAGCCTGGCAAACATGGCGAAACCCCAACTCTGCTAAAAATACAAAGATTAGCCAGGCGTGGTGGCGAGAGCCTGTAGTCCCAGCTACTCGGGAGGCTGAGGCAGGAGAATTGCTTGAACCTGGGAGGCGGAGGTTACAGTGAACCAAGATTGCACCACTGCACTCCAGCCTGGGCAACAGAGCAAGACTCCATCTCTCAAAAACAAACAGACAAACTTCAATATATATTTCCTTAAAAACAAAGGCATTGCCAGGCGTGGTGGCTCAACCCTGTAATCCCAGCACTGTGGGAGGCCGAGGCGGGTGGATCACGAGGTCAAGAGATCGAGACCATCCTGGTCAACATGGTGAAACCCCGTCTCTACTAAAAATACAAAACATTAGCTGGGCATGGTGGCGCGTGTCTGTAATCCCAGCTACTCAGGAGGCTGAGGCAGGAGAATTGCCTGAACCCAGGAGGCCGAGGTTGCGGTGAGCCGAGATCGCGCCATTGCAATCCAGCCTGGGTAACAAGAGTGAAAACAAAAAACAAAAAACAAACCAAAGGCATTGTCTTAACGTAGTACCATAATCAAAATCAGGAAATTCACATTGATAAAATACTATTATCTAATCTACAAACTTTATTCAAATTTTGCCTATTGTCCTATTAATGCCCTTTATAGCAAAAGAAAAGGATGTTCCTTTCCAGGATCATTCATCCTGTTCTGTTGTCATTTGTCTTTAATCTGGAAGAGTTTCTCATCTTTCCTTGTCTTTTGATGACATTCATGTTTTTGAAGAGTGTAGGCCAGTCCTTTTATAGAATGTTCCTCAATTTGTCTGATGTTTCTTCATAGAGTCAGGTTACCTATTTTGTTTTGTTTTGTTTTTGAGACAGTTTCACTTTTGCTGCCCAGGCTGGAGTGCAATGGTGAGATGTCAGCTCACCGCAATCTCCGCCTCCTGGGTTCAGGCAATTCTCCTGCCTCAGCCTCCTGAGTAGCTGGGATTACAGGCACGCGCCACCATGCCCAGCTGATTTTTTGTAGTTTTAGTAGAGACGGGGTTTCACCATGTTGGCCAGGATGGTCTCGATCTCTTGACCTCGTGATCCACCCGCCTCGGCCTCCCAAAGTGCTGGGATTACAGGCTTGAGCCACTGCGCCCGGCCTGACATTCATGTTTTTGAAGAGTGTAGGCCAGTCCTTTTATAGAATGTTCCTCAATTTGTCTGATGTTTCTTCATAGAGTCAGGTTACCTATTTTGTTTTGTTTTGTTTTGTTTTTGAGACAGTTTCACTTTTGCTGCCCAGGCTGGAGTGCAATGGTGCGATGTCAGCTCATTACAACCTCCAGCTCCTGGGTTCAAGCGATTCTCTTGCCTCGGCCTCCAGAGTAGCTGGGATGACAGGTGTGTGTCACCATGCCCGGCTAATTTTTTGTATTTTTAGTAGAGACAGGGTTTCACCATGTTGGCCAGGCTGGTCTTGAACTCCTGACCTCAGGCGATCCACCTGCCTTGGCTGGGATGACAGGCATAAGCCACCATGCCTGGCCAGGTTATGCATTTTTGGTAGGAATATCACGGAAGTAAAGTTGTGTCCTTCTCAGTACGCCATCTCAGGAGGCACCTCATGTGGATTTGTCCCATTCCTAGTGTGATTTGCCTGTGTAATTAATAAGCACAACTCATTTTGTGGTGAGATGCCTTGAGATGATATTCTGCTTAACATCTATTTATGTGTCTTTCCTTAACCAGTGATGACTATTATGCTATGGCAAAGAGATTTTTAAAAATTGATTCCATCTGTGAAATGGGTGAGGAGAACTTACGTGGTGTTAGGCACATCGCTGTTACCAGAGAATGTGTCCCAGTTGGGCGTCTAGCTGGCTTAACTCCATTCTCTTTCACTGGGGCTGGGTGGAAAAGATCAGGCCACTTGGCTATATTAAAAATACAACAAAAAACCCTGCAGGAAACTGTTGACCCACTTAGATAGAGCTCCAGGCTTTGACTTCTGCAAACCCCACCTCCCTTCCCCAGGAAGTAGAAAGTCTCCTTTCAAGCTCCCGGGCTCTTATTGCCACCCTAGGCCATGGTAACATACCTGCAGAAAGGTCTGGTGACGGCCGCCGGGAGAGAAACGCAGAGGCCCTCCAGCTGAGGAGCTGCCTTTCTTCATAGTCAAAAAACAGACCCAGCTACTTTAGAAAACCAGAATTTTTTAAAACATGAAAAGGGGCTTTTCAGCCTCCATGGGGCCTTTTTAAATGTGGCTTTCGGAATGAGTTGGTTATGTGGAGGCAGGATTGTGAGGCAAATAGCTTACAGAGACAGCTAGCCAAGTTGGGCGCAGTGGCTCACGCCTGTAACCCCAGCACTTTGGGAGGCTGAGGTGGGTGGATCACCTGAGGTCAGGAGTTTCAGACCAACTTGGCCAACATGGTGAAACCCCATCTCTACTAAAAAGAGCAAAAAAATTAGCTGGGCATGGTGGAGGGTGCCTGTAATTTCAGCTACTCAGGAGACTGAGTCAGGAGAATCGCTTGAACCCAGGAGGTGGAGGTTGTGGTGAGCCGAGATCGTGCCACTGCACTCCAGCCTGGCAACAGAACAAGACTCCGTCTCAAACAAACAAACAAACACACATACACAAACCCCAGAGATGACTAGCCACAAGGAAGAGAAACTCTGAGGCCTGGACCTTGACAATATTCTGTTAGGTAGTCCCCATTCCTGCCTACACCCGTGAAGACTAAGGAAGCTTCTCTTCACATAGCTGTCTGCTCCTTAAATGCTGGAAGTCGTGAGCTGTGTGTGCTGCTTAATTCTCATGATGTGAATATAATGGGTACACCTCACATTCCATGCAGGTCACCCCAGTTTTTACCTTGGCCAGAGGCCAAGTGTACCCATGGGTTTTTTGTTTTTTTTTTTTTTTTTTTTTTTTTTTTTTTTTTTTTTTTTTTTTTTTTTTTTTTTATAAGAAAATATATTTATTTTTTTTTTTTTTTTGTTTTGTTGTTTTAAAGACGGGGTTTCACTGTGTTGGTCAGGCTGGTCTTGAACTCCCGACCTCAGGTGATCCGCCCACCTTGGCCTCCAAAGTGCTTGGATTACAGGCGTGAGCCACCGCGCCCGGCCAGTGTGCCCATGTTATAGGACAGATCCAGGAATGTCACCGTCCCTGTTCTTTGGGCCGTGTACGTGCAATCCCAGCCTGCATCCCTCACCTCCCTGTCACTGCCCGTCTCAGGGTGAACAGGAGGCTCAGCCCAAAGCACCCTAAGGAGAAGACCCAGAGGCAGGGCTGCTGGGGAAGGTGGGGCCTGGCTGATCGGGACTCTCTCTGTCTGGTTACAGCTGCCCTATGAGAAGGACTGCAAGAATAAGCTGTTTTGTATCGCAGAATTACAGTTGGCCACCACCGTCTCTCAGTGAGTTGGAAGCAGCCCTCGGTTTCCTGCAGTTAACGTCCCCCAAATGCTTGCCTGGGCGAACCCCTCATCAGGACGCACCGTGTACTCCCTTCCCCGCTTCCCGTGGCCCACAAACGGCTTCTGCGCTTATCTCATTATGTCCTCAGTTACCCCACGAGGGAGGGAAGATGGAGATCCGTCTTCCCACTTTTTAGATCAGGAAGGAGACTCAGTCGCTGAGGGCCCTGCATGGGCCATCCGGTGGCCTTGAACCTGGGTCCCTTGGCATCCGGGACAATGCAACCCAGTGTTCTTCACGGCTAGGATGACCTCTACCTCAGTTAGAGGTGACCTGTTTCCTGGCTCACCTCTTCCACCAAAGTCATTCATCAGTCGGGCAGACATTTCTGGACCGTCTGCACTATGCCAGGCACTGTTGGTGCTGGGGATGCTTCTGTGAACAACACAAAGGTCCCTGCCCTCCTGGTGCTTAGGGGGAGAAGATGGTAAGAAAGTAAATTCTGTGTTGGGGAGATGAACTTTGAAGAAGCAGGGAAGGCGGAGGGAGTTCTGGGTGGGGGGAGAGGCTGACGTTGTCAATGGGGTGGTCAGGGAGGGGGACACACACAGGAGGAGGTTGGGGAACGAGCTATGTGGGTGGGTGTCTGGGGTAAGAGCAGCTGCAGGTGCCCTGGGGTGGGCGCCTGCCTGGCAGGTGGAGGCAGCGCAAGGACCCAGGGGCTGCAGTGGAGTGAGGCGGGGGAGTAATGAGGGAGGGGAGGAAAAGGGAGGGAGAAAGGCTTTTGCCGTGAGCTGTGAAGTCAGAGGAGTGACGTGATGGTGCAGCTCAGCAGGACCCTTCTTGCTGATGAGTTGAGGAGAGACTAGAAGCAAAGGTGGAAGGAGGGGCCGCACTTGCTCCCATTGAAACCACTCAGGTGAGAGGCGATGGGGGCTGGGATCCAGGTCCCAGCAATGACGGGGTTTACGTTTTGAAGCGAGAGCCCACAGCACGTGCTGACAGAGTGAGGCAGAGTGAGGAAGGAGCCCCCAGCCCGAGCCTGTGGTGCCGCGCCGTCCAACACACCAGCCATACTTGGCTGTTGACACTTACATGAGTTAAAATTAAACACAAGGAAACACTGAGCTCCTCGGAACATGGGAGCCACACTTCAGATACTCAGCGCCCGCTGGTGGCTGGTGGTGTCGGGCAGCACGGATACCACCTGTTTCATCGCTGCAGACGTTCTATTGGACCACACTGAATTCCAGAATGATGGTGTTGCCAAGCACAGGAGTTTGGGTTCGGACATATGGTGGCCCTAAAATGCCCTCCCAGCCTGGACACAGCGGCTCACGCCTGTAATCCCAGCACTTTAGGAAGCTGAGGGAGGTGGATCACGAGATCAGGAGTTCGAGACCAGCCTGATCAACATGGTGAAACCCCATCTCTGTCAAAAAAACAAAAATTAGCCAGGCACGGTGGTATGTGCCTCCAATGCCAGCTACTGGGGAGGCTGAAGCAGGAGAATTGTTCAAACTTGCGAGGCAGAGGGTGCAGTGAGCCAAGATCACACCACTACACTCCAGCCTGGGAAACGGCACACTCTGTATTAAGGAAAAACAAAACAAAACAAACAAAAAGCCCTCCCTGGTGAGTAGGTGCTGTGTCTGCATGGTGATTCTGATGACCCCGCTGGCCGGAGCTGCCATATGTGGGGAAGATGGCAGTTCCCGAGTCCTGGTGAGCCCTTTCATAGACATTTGCAGGACCGACTGAAGACTTTCAAGGGCCCTGGAATCCATCCTAACAAGCAGGTGCAGCTGTTTCCAGCCAGGAATTAATTATAGCCAAGAACCAACCTCCCAGCCAGCTACTGGGCAGTGGCAATTCAGCACACGCAGCTTGCCCTACATCGCCCCCTAGGGTACATGGCGAGCAAACGCTTCTCTTTCAAAAACATCCCTGCAGCCTGGTCATTGGCTTCCAGCTGTCTCGGGGTTTTGGCCTTTCTGAGGACATGGATCTCCTAGAGAACCTAATGAAGACTACAGCCCCTCTCCTTAGAAGACCACATGTGCATACATAAATGTTTGCATTCCGGGTCCTCTGAAACGGCCCCTAGGCCTCAGGTCCGGCAACGCTGTTAAGTATTCCAATGACACTCAGGTCTCGTGCCTGGGCTCTGCGACAGTGCGTCCAGCTGACATGTCAGCAGCTCTGCCTTGTCCTCCATGCACCTCTTGTCATGTCCCAGACTGAACGCATCTTCCTCCGTCCTCGGGTCTTCCTCCTGTGTTACCTCCCTCAATCAATAACAGCACCGCTCAGCCATCTGAGCCAGAAACTCAGAACTCGGCCAGGTGCAGTGGCTCATGCCTGTAATCCCAGCACTTTGGGAGACTGAGGCAGGCGGATCACCTGTGGTTGGGAGTTCAAGAGCAGCCTGACCAACATGGTGAAACTCCATCTCTACTAAAAATGCAAAACATTAGCCAGGCGTGGTGGCACAGGCCTGTAATCCCAGTTACTGGAGAGGCTGAGGCAGGAGAATCGCTTGAACCCGGGAGGCGGAGGTTGCAGTGAGCTGAGATCGCACCATTGCACTCCGGCCTGGGGAGTAAGAGTGAAACTCTGTCTCAAAAAAAAAAAGAAAAAAGAGGCCGGGCATGGTGGCTCACGCCTGTAATCCCAGCACTTTGGGAGGCCGAGGCGGG